ATATTTTTATCTTTGTACGATAAATCTCAAATTATAAAAGAGAATCCCAAAGTATTTATAATTTATATTATATTATGATTATGCAGATTTTTGTGCATTTTTACATCTTTATGAGCATAAGAAAGCTGAGAAAATCTAAATAAAAATTTGTATTGATATATAAATTTGTATTTGTATGATTATCTTCTGTATTATTACATATTACATACACCGCGTGCATTTTATATTTCCCATCGATGCATAAAAATTCATAGTCTAATTATGATCCTTTGAAACATGTCGCCCAGATGTTACCACGCTACTGCAATTGAATACGCGGTCGGTGATGTCAAGCGCTTCTGAGATAACTTATAAAGAGAACTGATAAAACCAGATATAGTTCAGTCTCGAGCCTCGCGTTCACACATCTTGAGTCGATTGTAAATCCAGTTTCTCCGTAAACCACGGTCGAGCGTGCCACGGAACTTGGAACAGTGAATGACCGAGACGATCGAGCTATATAGAAGGAGGTACATAAAATTTTCTGTCGTTCACCGAGGATAAAAAGCATCAAGGTAAGAGCATAACGGCGACACGGGGTTACCTTTCGTGCGATCGAAATACTTTTGAGAGATTCACGACTTCGTGGAATCATCGATTTTGCTTGATGCATTTTCAATGCAACAACTTTGTGATGATGACGGCTTCGTGAAAATGGCGGAAGTCACGTGAGGTCCTTGAATCCAAGACTCCCGTATATGAATAGAGTCCATGTGAAAATTAATAACAAGATTTTTTCTCTTTTAAAAGTATGAATACTGAAATTTGAACGATCTGAACAATTTTTTAGATACAAAGTGAAATGTCGAGGAAAGATATTACTATTGTGGTCTTATTAAAAAAATATTCAAAGTTAAATTGTGGATTATAAAATGTTGTAGGCGAAGGCGCGAAAGGGAAATTTTTGAAATGGAAGATACTGATCCTCGATTCTCAATTGGTTCTTTAAATTAAAACTTTAACAACAATGTACTTTATTTTGTATAAAACAATCGTAGTAGTAAACAACATCGTTTGTAGTAAAGTGTTTGTATTAAATGAATTGTTCGCAAATCACATTGATTAATTTCATAAATTAGAAAGCAAAAGCAGTGACATTACAAATCTTATTTTTTAAAATTCATATCGTATTTTAATATTATTTATACGATCCTTTCTTTCAAATTACTTACTTTTTGAAAAATTAAACAATAAATTCTAGCTAATGAAATTGAAGTTCATAAAAGTAAAGTTAATTAGTTTGAAAGGCTCAAATAAGAATGATTAGAAATGTCATGAACACAGGATCATTCCTTTTTTCGAGTAATACAGACGGAATATGAGTCGAATTATCGATAACTGTTAATTTCCAGAATTGTTATTAACGAGATTGAAAATAAAAAATACACGATTATAATGGTAGTTTTACGTAATGTTTTACATTCTCTAGCATCCGATGACGTTAGAAATTCATCGAATGGTTGTTGTTTATCGTAGCCAACATTGTAATGTTGAAGAGAAGTAACGCAACACTTGACGACCTATTGTCACGGTCTCTGAAATCTTAAATGTTGCAAGAGATAACGATAGACTCACACAATTTACGATATGACCCCCTTCGAACTCGATTTTTTTCTCATCTTTGGTCGAATTAGATTAACGAATCGTAAAATTAATATTCACTTCAAACGTCATCAGTTTCACAATGTTACATATAAGTATTTCTATATGCAGATGCTGTAAGTTGATCATATCATGAGAGTTTGTTAGATGAGTAATACAATTGGATAAGATGAGACTTTATAAAGAACAAACAAGAAATTTATTTAACCTTCTACAAATAGAATTTCGTTCACTTACAACAGAAAAATATTAATTAATTTTAGATATTTAATCTAATTTAAAATCTTGGAATTAATATTACATTTATTACTTGGTATTTTTGTAATGATGCATCGATGAAATAAAATAATATACGGTATAAAGTTATCAAAATGCGGTCATATGATTGAATTTATTTGTTTAAGGTTTTTTTTTAAATTGGGATTTGAAATTGTTCAAATATATGTAATTGTTCAATATATGTAAGCACTTATTGTGTTTATGTCAATGATTCACAAATTAAAAACTTTATTCTTTCTTTGTTAATTTATTTTAGAACAAGAAATGATTTGCTCCTTGTTCTAATCAAATGTAATATCTTTTTATTAGAAAAGAGAAGAACTAGAGAATCTTTGGAAAATTTCAAACGAACGATTCCTAGTTTACTACAATTCTGATTATTTCTAATTTATTGTATTCACAACATGTCAAAAATAAAAGAAATATATGTGTACTTGATACAATACATTATATACAAAATTAAATTATATTTTTTCATTAAAAAATTCTTCATAAAAATGCAAAGTTTTCTTAAAAGATTTCTAACATTTCCATCAGAAGATAGCAAATTATCGTTTCGAAAAAAGAAAACATTTCTCTTTCAAATGACCAAGCATAATTATCGGTAAATAAATCCGCGTTCTTGTTCTTTACGTAATACAATATTGGAACTGTGAAATGCTACTCGTTGATAAAGTTAATGAAAGTCATTGTTTGTTGACTTATTTCTTTTACATTAACGGGACTATTTATCTAAAAATGTTCAATTTACCGCTATAGACTTGTTGATCAATCATGGTCAAAGAGAAATAAATAAATTGATCGACATAATTGATCGACACATTTAGATATTAATTTAAAGCACATCGTCGAAGGACCATAAAAAAATTGTGCGTATTGCATTTATAAGTTTTTTCCATTTTTATCGGGCTTAGGTTAACACGTGCCATAAGATATCCAATGTATTTTTCATAGAAAGTCACTTGCGTATATCGAGTAGAGAATTTAAACAAATTCGCCGTGTTATACTTCAAAGAAAAAAATAAATTGAAAAACCGCTACCTGAAGAAATGCTGCAATAAAGTGTAATTACACTTTTTATTATATGACGATCTATTTTTCTATGAATAATCGCGTAATATTAATAGCGATAAAAACGATATCTTTTCACACCGCAGAGCTTGAATATAAGATCAATATTCTTCTTTAGAATTGAAAAATTGGAAGCGAATAAAGCAAATAATAATAAACAATTTTTGAGACAACAAGAAATTAATCTACTCGTAAAGTTAAAGTTCAATAACTTTTTAAGTCCAATTAAAAATTCCAAAAGTTTAACGTTACCAATGTAAGTGTTAATAATGTTCTCTTTTCTTCTGTTTCACAAGGTCCCCAACTCGAAGAAGCCCAAAGGGAAAGATCGTGAAATTTCGTTTATGGAGAACTACACGTCAGACTCGAGCGACTCAGATTCCAGCAGCAAGACACTGGATCTGTCTTATTTGATGCTCGACACACAGTTGCTGAACGATCATTTCGTCAATGCAAAGAGCCCAGAGCACGTGGACACTTTACTGCTTCATCAAAATCGGCTGACCAATATTCCACAAACTATAGTTAGGTTCACAAACTTGAACTCATTGGATATATCAAATTGTGGCCTTCATCGATTGCCTGACTTCCTTGGTGATTGTCCATTGTCCTGTTTAATCGCTAAGCATAATAATTTGATGAACGATTCGCTACCGAAAAATCTTCAAAATCTGCCGAGACTTAGGGAGCTGAATCTCAGCGGGAACAGGTTAACAGATTTTCCGGAGCAGGTTCTTGACCTGACGGAGCTTAAATACCTGTACTTGGGCGGCAATCAAATCACGGAGATTAGTAAAGATGTATGGAAACTGCAAAGGTACTGGACCGTTTTTAGCGATGTTTTAATCTCGATGAATATTCTGATTTCAAAGTAAAAAAATACAGATCTTTTATGAATATATTATGCTGCTGATTCTGAAACAGAGATCTTTTATGAATATATTATGCGATAATTTTGAAAATTAGCACTGTAACCAAACATTACTATCGTGATTCTATTGAAACAAATCTAAAAATGTACGTAGAAGCTAATATATTGTAAAGTATGTACTACATACAGAATACAGATATACACATACACATACACATATATTTAGATCATAAAACAATTAATTATTCATTATAATAATGAATCTCAATTTTAACATTTATTATATTTTTAATTCACGCTGTGCAGTTATTATATACATTTTTAGACTGGTTTCAAGTTTTATTAATATAATAATCACAATAATGATTCTACTATAATATATAAGGCATATTGTAAAATTGACTTTATATTAATAGATAACATTTATCTAAAAACTAATTTCAAAGTAAATACAATTAAAACTGCGACATGGAACATAATATAGAACTTGACAAAGAGTAATAATTTTGTTTCAAGACTACAAGTACTGTCAATGGGAGGAAACAGATTGGTAGAAGTACCATCCACCTTAGGCGAACTGATGTCCCTCCAGGCACTGATATTATGTGATAATAGTCTTGAAAGTCTACCTAGTTCTATAGCAAAGTTGACGAATTTGAAGTCGTTGCTGCTTCACAAGAACAGATTGAAGACATTGCCTACTGAAATCATCACGTTAAAATGTCTGACAGAGGTGATACAAAATTATTTAAAAAGACAATATAGTACGAATTGACTATTTATAACCCAATGATTAATTATTAAGTTAAACTTAATAATACTAAACTTAATTATAATAATAATAAATCTAGTAATAAACATTATTTTCATTAATATAAAGTTTTTAGTATAAATTTCACTATTTCGGTGTGAAATCTGTTAAAAAATAAGTAGAAAGCGCAGTAGTGGAACTAATACATGTTCTTATAGAAGCATAACTGCGATAAGATTTTTCCTGCGGATCAGGAAAAAGATTTCCAAAAAATCTTAAATCTGTCAAGAAATTAAAGTCGCTACTAAATATCGGTCATACTTCCAAATATCTATTAATCGCACAGTGAAAAGTCTCTATTCAACAGTTCGTCTGTTAATTTTATCTCGCTGTTTATCCTTTTACTCGTTTGTCCAGTTATCTCTGAGGGACAATCCGCTGGTAGTAAGATTCGTGTCGGATATGACACACAATCCCCCGTCACTATTGGAGTTGGCTGCCAGAGTGATCAAGACAAACGATATCCAATACGACGAGGAGAACATACCGAGAAACCTGGTGGAGTATCTAAACAGCGGCCACCGTTGCGTGAACTCCAAGTGTAAAGGTCAGCGACTAAGCTCGGTTCAAAGCTCAAAGTTCTATCGGTTCTACCACCGGCGACATCGATTTTTTTCCTCCATTGTAATCGGCTGCATTATTATTAATGTGCCATCCTATCGCGCATGCATGCATGACTTCTTTCCTACGAGATTATTTTCACGTTTGAAATCGACGAAACGAATTCCAGTGCACAATGGGACATCGTCGAGGATTGTTTGAAATGTTTAGTTCCCTGAGACAAATTTTGAAAAGTCTATATATTTTTTCCATTTAATGTGAGAAGTGTACTGTTGTGGATGCAAAAAGGGCCTCAGTGATAAACGTCAGTTACATTTGAGTCATTCACAGGACAGAGTGATTAACTCCATCTTTTGAATTTTTTCAAATTCTAGTGGCAAAGCACTCGATCGATGCTTTTTGCATCTAAAATAAATTTTCTTAGTTAGTAATCAGACCCAACGCCACTGAATGACAACAATTTTCTTGGCCGTGAGATAATAAATAATTTATTTCAAAATTTATTATATATATATATATATATATATTTATTTATTTGAGTTTAAATTTAGAAAAGAATTATAAAAAAGAACGTATACAAATAAGATTTTTTCTAATTGTAAGACAAAAACGTATTCTTCTTCAACCTCGTCTCAAAGAACGTCTTCGTTAATAAAAGTATTATTTCTTTCCAGGTGTGTTCTTCAACAACAGAGTGGAACACGTCAAATTCGTCGATTTTTGCGGCAAGTATCGTCTGCCTTTGTTACAGTACCTTTGTAGCAGGAAATGTATAGAATCACGAGACGGAGACGAAGTAGTCAGTGGAGCGATGATAAGAAAAGTTCTTCTGGGTTGATTACCGTTGTTGGAATTACGTTTCACCGAGACCCGTTATGTTTTCCATCCAAAGGAGATGGAAACATCTGTAGTTTACAATTACTACTCTAACGTCATCTACTGTCATCGACGGATCCTTTCTCTCCTATAATGTTTCAATGTGGTCGACTGCTTTGTCAGCTCGGAGACCAGCGCTATCGAATTCAGCGCTTCAGGAGTCGAAGGCTAAGGCATAAAGATTACACGAGGGATTACGTACGACTTGTAGTAAATTTTAAGCGAAAATTGCATGGTGGAGAGTTGAAGAAAAAAAAAAAACCGGAGTTGAATTTTCATTTATTGGACTACTCCAATCAATCTAAGCGAAGCCGCCACGAATAAAAAAGCTTCTCGCAGTCGAATTGTCCCAGCAACGTCGACTTATGCGTACGAATCTTCTTTTGTAAAGAGAATGTATACTTCCCACGAAAAGCATATTTTCTAACATAAAGATTTGATTCAAGTTTAACATATGTACGAATCTCTTTAAGTATGTATACCTGTGATGAAAGGAATATCTTCGAAAATAAACGTTTCGCCAAGCGCGATTCGAGTTCAACTGATTTCATACTTACTCCAGATCGTGCGGAATCGTCGCGAATGAAGCCGCAGTGTCTGTTAACGTGTTATCTTTTTATTGTTAAATAAACCACAAAATCTACAATAATAATAATAATATTATCATATAGAGTCTCCGTAAGAACGGAGGCGTTCGATCCTCGCTTAAAACACATCCACTGATTTATTTCTACGATTACCGATTTATCTATTTTTCATGTGTGAACCGTGTAAAACTGAAAACATCCGACAAGTGAACGGTAGCGAAGCGAACGACATTTTTACTTAATCATCGGTGATTCGTCGGTATAGAGTCGTTTAAGATTCATAGAAGAACATCGTTATTATATCTTTTTTTTTTTACCATTTTTTTTTTCTCCTCCATCCTTTTTTTTTCTTTTTTTTTTTTCAATAACTCGAAGTTAAGTCGGTGACAATTCTTCGTGAATATAGCAATATCGTAATAAGAGTTCGCTAGTGTATTTTTCCCCCATTTCTCTTTCTTTTTTTTTTTTCTTTTTTTGTTTTACCGCCTATTAATATCGCATATAGTATCGCCGTGTTCTTGTTTAATTATCTATACATACATATGCATATTCATATATATGCGCTCTGTTATTTTATACATTACATACATGTATATGTATGTACATGCTTCGGTTTCGTTTATCCCCCCCCCCATTCCCAAACTCCCACCCTATTTCTCCAGCGAACGAGTATTCTCTTTGCTCACACGCTTCAGGCACTCCGTTTCGCTCGCACACAGCCACACGTTCGTTTTCTTTTTCTTTTTTCTTCCCATTTTCATTTCCTTCTCAAAACGATCCTTTCGGATCGGCGCGGTGTTTT